AGATATCAAATTCACCCAAGGAACCTTGTCTGCCTTGTGCTTCTAGAGACATTTAGAACAAAACTGGAAACAGTTTTCAATTGCACAGGTGCTCTTCTGTCCTGTTAGGCCATGTGTTGAAATACTAGCTCTTATTCTGCTGTGTTTTTGAATTTCCCAAAGGCTCATTAATTCTGTGACAAATAGAAGGATCTTGTCTCAAATGGAGGCTTGTACAAAACTGCCAATGCCATTTATGACCTGAAATGTGGCTGAATGGTGTGTGTGTTGTGGGATCGGCCATGCAGGGAAACTTCTGCTTCCCTTGTAATATACCACAGTGAGCATCTCATTTTTGGCCCTTACAACGTTTGTGTGGACAATGCCGGTGAGGATAGATTATGGATGGGATTCATAGGAGGTGGAGAAGGATTGCATTTGCCTTTACCCTGGAATGAAGGTTGTAAGGAATCTATACTTTGGTATCATATCCTGGCCCAAGGGCCTGGTTTACTTTTGCTTCCAGGCATTGTTAGACTTATCAACCCACCCTTTGAACTGTCACCTGATTTCAGTTTTATGTGGGGAAATTCTACCTTAGAGAAGCAAGTCTTTTGTCACTAGCATTGTGGAGGAGAGCAGGGAAGCAGAAGAGTCTGTAAACTTATCAAGATGAAATGAACACTTCAGTGCGAGGTAACAAATTTGGTCAGTCATGGTGTGGAAGCCATTATGGTGGCTTTACATCTCCCACTGCCCTCCAGACACCAGTGATTACATCAGCAATGTTTAAAAGGACTTTGGAAGAGCACTCTGGATCAGCCTAAAGAAGGCATTAACCCCATGCTTTTTAAGGGCATACCCATGTAAACAGTATTAAGTTAGCTTTCCCCTGCTATTTACTGGGTTTAAAAGAATCAATCTTTTTCATTATCTTATTGATCCTCTCTGCTGTTTATTGTGAAAAAAAGTGGGAAGAGGGACACAGTATAAAATAATGAACCCTGCCTTTGTGAGACATCTTATTTACATAACGTATTACATTCTTTCTACTGGGCCCAGCATTGTGCTCTTAGGGTAGAAAGTTTCTGGTGTTACCAAAGGAAAAAGCCTTGAATCAGTTACTGTCTCCCTCTCTGTCTCTCTGTCTCTCCCTCTCTCTGCTTCCTGAGGTAGTTTCAGACCAATATACTTGCAAATACAATGACTCTAATAGCTTGCATAAGAACCAAGAATAGAGAGATTTATTTTTGGTGAAATGACTTGAGTCATGTTATAGCTTTGCCTTTGATACAAACGTAGAATGGCCCTGGAGATATAAATCAGCGATGCATGGTGTTTGATATTCAGTTGGGGTGGCTGGTCGATCTATTGGTTTCAAACTCTTTCATTATTGGATTTTTTGCCCTTTTTTCTGCTTTTTATAACTTGGCTGCCAACTGACAATATTTCTACAAATTTGGAGCTGGACTTCCGTTGACCTCATTGAGTTTTGGATCAGGCTGTGGTTCATTACTCTGAATTGATTAATGAAACATTTTTCTTCACATGTTTGGGTCAATTAATTTTTACAAAATATCCATAATCAGGCCTCCTGTACAGATTAAGGGTATTTGTGTATACTTTATTACTGTATATTGGAACTGGGAAGGAAAATCTTGTCCCACTCTGTTAAAATTTCCCAAACATTCCATTCTGCATTGGGACAGAATTGAGAAATGTAGAAATTCTTGACAAAAACAAACAACCCCCCCAAAAAAACCCAGAGATACCCATCCAAGAATAATCCACTGATTAAGGCACTCATGGAAATCTCTATTCTGTACAATTCAGACCAGAGACTAGAACTTGGATTTTCCACTTCTGGAGAGTGCTCCAGCTACCAGGTCATTTTAGGATGTCTCTCTCAGGGTGTGAACAACTTTTTACATGACCTGACTCAGGTTCAGGTGGCTTTAGGCAGGTTGCTGCTTGCCAGGGGGAGGCACAGGCAACTGGAGGCAAGTAAGTTGGAGAGCGGGGCTTTGGTAGGTCCACACAGGGCTTGGCAGGTCCATGGGGGTGGGGGAGGGAGGGGGCTGCCTGTTTGGGGAGGGGGAAAGGTGGAGAGAATTTTTTTCGGAGGAGATGGTAAAGATTGCGTGGTCAGTGTCAGGGAGCAAATACAACACTTTTCCAGGGCTGTGGAGAGTGGCTGGGCTTTCCTAGCTCCAGGGTTGTGCTGGGATGTGTGCAAGCATTGGGTAGGTCAGGTTAACCCATTTTAGGTTGTGTTAACCCATGCCAGTCTAAAATTAGATCTCATCTATGGTGCACCATTTTTAGAGCAGTCTAAGCCCAGCAAGTGCTTGCTCACCCAGCCACTTAGATCACAATAAGCTTGGTTAGGGGGATGTAAATGTAACACTTGTATGCACCCTCTGTATGCATCCCCTGTCTCTCCTTTTGGAATTGCTCCTTTTTCTGTAAGTACTTCAATTAGGCTGAAGAGCCTAAGGGAAAGCAAAACTATTTGTGCAGTTTAGTGGTTAGGGCACTTGCCTGGGATATGAGAGGATTACAAGACAAGGTCTTGAATCTGGGTTTTCACAATTCAAGACTACCTGACATAGATGAGCAGCTGCATAAATGTTCACTACAAACAGATTAAAAATCAACAGGAATATAATAGGTCTAAGGTATAAGATTTAGTGAACATGTTCATCAGTATATTTTTCCACAATTCCTCTAGGTCT